TGTGTACATGAAAAAATATTATTTAATATATATATTCATCCAAAAAGTGGCTAAATGGAAAATTTAACTCAAGTTCTTCGCTCAGAAAAAAATATGGTCAAAGCTACCAGAATGTGGCAAAATTAAGTGTCTGGCTGTATGGGAACACCAAAAGCACGGTAATTGCAGGATTGCTAGCATCACAGAACCAAAAAAAAATTGGAGAAATCAATCAAGAGTGATTTCAAAGTATTTAATTTCAGTCTTTTTTTTGTCACATGAACTCTGAAAATTTCATTTCCTGAGAATTTATAACTTTTTAGAATTTCAACCATCAAAAATTTAAAAATAAATTATTTTCAAATGCGCAGCTCTGAAAATCCATAAGCAAGGTATCAAAAATTCATCATCCATTATAATTTTATTCGAAAATAACTAGTGCATCAAAGTTGTAATCTAACCTCAGAACTACGTCTGTATACCTTAAAGATTAATTGGCACTTCTATTTATAGATAAATTTAAAAAAAAATTTGGCAGGAATTCCCCGGAATATTTCTTAATGTATATTTTTGTTCATTTATTTCTAGAAAATTCTGGAAGTATTCGAAGCACAAAACTGGTAGATATCAAGAGGTAGATATATAGAGAGAGATACACTTAAGAGCTCAAAATATAAAATGAAAAAAAATAGTGCGTGTACTCCCTCCGCGCGTAAGTAGCTAAACTTCGCAACTTGCGGCGTTAATTGTAGAAGAATCAGCAGTCGTAGAAGGATCACTAGTTCTATTCAACGACTCTTTTTCCTGCTCCTCTCGCTTCCGTGCTCTGTAATCACGGTAATATTGTGCATTTTTCCCTCGTGGACCTCGTGAACCAGTGCTTGTGGTTGCCTCATCGTCTAGCCCTGGAAAATGTATTTGAATTAATAATGTATGTGAATACGTCATAATGTAATTTTAGAAGAGAAACAATCAATTGATATTCACAAGAGACGTATCTTGACATAACCTTAAATCCATCGCATTGTCCGTGGGATTGTTTTCACTCATTTTTTGCAAATTCTTATCCACTAAATTTGAAAATGAAAAATACTACCCTACTAAATTATATGTGTATCAAAACAGACTAAAAAATATTTATAGAAAAACAATATTTTATGACTTTTATTATTTTTATGCTAGTGAGAACCAAAACAATATGGAAATGAATGAGGAAAAACTGGATCCTACCACGTGATTTCCCGGCCAATAAAAAAGTAGCGTTAAACGTTTAACGCAACCTTGTTGGAAGTCGCATAAGAAGTATAACTTCAACAAAGTGAAAATGCTTAAGTGAATAATGGGTAAAACAAAATGAGGTAGAGATAAAAAACGTTTGACAAACATCATCACAATAATTTTACCGAAACACTTTGCAATAACTTTTTGGTAAAATTAATAATAAAATATTGTATTATTACCATACTGTTAGGTAGTAAATGCCAGGGCTAAAGAGAATAGAAGGGCTAGTTCACTCCGCTCTTAGAGCTGAAGCTACGATTTCCCTCCTCATGACGTCACTGTGTCCACAGATCTCGTAGATCGCAAGCAAAGATATGATAACTTTGTATCTTCCTCTTTATAAAAATAAGTTAGACTTTTTCTGGTTATTAGCTTTCAAACTTTACGTAATTAACACATTATGTCCGTTCATAAACATAGTTCGAAAAAACTTTCTTGGTTATTATATTAAAAAAAATATCATCTTAAACTTATAAAAATGTTTTACTAGTTGGCGAAAATGACACTATAAATACTTTATTTTAAAAAGTTCAGTTTTAACTTTAATTATTAAGAAAAATGAAAGCAT